TTTCAAGTCTCTAATCCATTTTGTATTGATTTTGAGTATGGTGTGACATAGTGGTCTAGTTCCTTCCTTCATTCCTTCCTTCCTTCCTCCCTCTTCTCTTCACTTCTCTTCTCTTCTCCTCTCCTCTCCTCTCCTCTCCTCTCCTCTCCTCTCCTCTCCTCTTCTTCCTTCCTTCCTTCCTTCCTTCCTTCCTTTCTTTCTTTCTTTCTTTCTTTCTTTCTTTCTTTCTTTCTTTCTTTCTTTCTTCCTTCCTTCCTTCCTTCCTTCCTTCCTTTCTTTCTCTTTCTTTCTTTCTTTCTTTCTTTCTTTCTTTCTTTCTTTCTTTCTTTCTTTCTTTCTTTCTTTCTTTCTTTCTTTCTTTCTTTCTTTCTTTCTTTCTTTCTTTCTTCCTTCCTTCCTTCCTTCCTTCCTTCCTTTCTTTCCTTTCTTTGTGACTGTCCAATTTTCCCAACACCATTTATTGAGGAGAATATATTTTCTCCTTTGTATATTCTTTACTCCTTTGTCATAGACAAATTGCCCATGTATGTGTGGGTTCATTTCTGGGGTCTCAATTCTGTTCCATTGATCTGTATGTCTGTTTTTTATTTTGGCCCTGTGATATAATTTAAAATCAGGGAGTGTGATAACCTCCACTTTTTTTCTTTCCCTTCAGGACTGCTTTGGCTATTTGGGGTCTTCTGTAGTTCCATATAAATTTTAAAACTTATATGGATTTTGATAGGGATTTCATTGAATTTGTAGATTACTTTAGGTAATATAGACATTTTAATAATGTTAATTTTTCTAATTCATAGGCATGAGATTTATTTCCATTTCTTTGTGTCTTCTTTAATTTTTTTTCACAGTGTCATAGTTTTCAGTGTACAAGTCTTTCACCTCCTTGGTAAGATTTATTCCTAAGTATTTTATTCTTTCCGTTGCAACTGTAAAGTGGATTGTTTTCTTAATTTCACTTTCTGCTAATTTGTTTTTAGTGCATAGAAACACAAGATTTTTTATCCTGCAACCTTTACTATATTCATTTATTATTTCTAATAGTTTTTTTGGTGGAGTCTTTAGGGTTTTCTGTATGTAAAATCATGTCATTTACAAATAGTGAATGTTTTCACTTTTTTACTTCCAATTTAGATGTCTTTTATTTCTTTTTCTTGCCTAATTACTCTGGCTAGCACTCCCAATTCTATGTTGAATAAGAGTGGTGAGAGTGGGCATCCTTGTCCTGTCTCTGATACTAGATGAATAGCTTTCAGTATTTCACCACTGAGTGTAATGTTAGCTGTGGGTCTGTCATATAGGGCCTTTATTTTATGTAGGTATTTTCCTTCAGGATGACACCTGCACCCCAATGTTCATAGCAGCACTATTTACAATAGCCAAAACATGGAAACAGCCTAAATGTCCATCAACAGGTGACTGGATAAAGAAAATGTGGTATATTTATACAATGGAATACTACTCAGCCATAAAAACCGACAACATTTTATTTAGATTTTTAAAAATCATACATTGGTGTTGAATCTTATCAAATGCTTTTTCTGCATCTATTGAGATGGTCATATGTTTTTTACTCTTCATTTTGTTAATGTGGTCTGTCATGTTGATTGATTTGCGGATGTTGAACCATCCTTTCACATCTGGAATAAGTCCCACTTGATCATCGTATGTGATCCTTTTAAAGTATTGTATTTAGTTTGCTAATATTTTGTTGAGGATTTTTGCGTCTATGCTCATTTGAGATATTGGCCTGTAGTTTTCTTTTTTTGCATTGTCTTTGCCTGGTTTTGGTATCAGGGTGATGTCACTTGTAAAGTGAGTTAGGATGTGTTCCCTCCTCATCAATTTTTTTTGGACTGTTTTGAGAAAAATAGGTATAAATCACCTCTGAATGTTTGGTAGAATTCACCTGTGAAGCCATCTAGTCCTGTACCTTTATTCTTGGAAGGTCTGATTACTGTTTCAACCTCCTTGCTAGTGGTTGGTCATATATCTTATGCTTTAGTCTTAGAAGGTTGTATGATTCTAAGAATTTGTTCACTTATTCTAGGTTGTCCAATTTGTTGATACATAGCTGTTTATAGTATTTTTGTATAATCCTTTGTATTTCTGGAGAATTCATTGTTATTTCTCCTCTTTCATTTCTATTAATTTTTTAAAAAATTTACTTATGGAGGGGAATTAGGTTTATTTAACTAATTATTCATTTTTAAAATGGAGGTACTGGAGACTGAACCGAGGACCTTGTGCATGCTCAGCACACACTCTACCACTGAGCAATACCCTCCCCCTCCTCTTTCATTTCTAATTTTATTTATCAGAGCCTTCTCTCTCTCTCTCTCTTTTTTTTTTTCTTAGTGAATCTAGCTGAAGTTTGGGCAATTTTGTCTATCTTTAAAGTAATTAGCTCTTAGTTTTATTGATCTTTTCTATCGTCTTTTTAGTCTGTATTTCTTTTATTTCCACTTTGATTTTTATCATTTCTTTCCTTCTACTGACTTTGGGCTTCATTTCTTCTTTTTCTAGTTCCTTTAGATGTAAGATTACATTATTTATTTGAGATTTTTCTTGTTTCTTGAGGTTTAGCCTGCATTGCTATAAACTTCCCTCATGATACTACATTTGTTGTATCCCATAGCTTTTGGTACGCTGTATTTTCATTTTCGTTTGTCTTCAGGTATTTTTCTATTTCCCCTTTGATTTCTTGGTTGATTCAGTAGCTGTTTCGCAGCATGTTGTTTAGTTTCCACATATTTGTGGTTTTCCAGCTTTTTCTTCTAGTTGATCTCTAGTTTCATACCACTGTGATCAGAAAAGATAGTTGATATGATTTCAGTTTTCTTAAATTTATTGAGACTTGTTTTGTGTTCAAACATACGGCCTATCCTTGAGAAAGTTTTATGGGCACTTAAGAAGAATGTGTACTGTACTACATTTGGATGGAATGTTCTATATAAATTTATCAAGTCCTTTTGCTATAATGTTTCTTATAAGTTGACTTTCTGCCTGGATTATCTATTCATTCATGTAAGTGGGGTTTTACAGACCCCTACTGCTACTGTGTTGCTGTCAATTTCTCCCTTTAGGATTGTTAATAATTGCTTTGTACACTTTGGTGCTCCTATGTTAGGTACATATATATCATTGTTATGTCTTCTTGATGAATTGTCCCCTTTATCATTATATAATGTCCATCTTTGTCTCTTGTTACCTTTTTTGGCTTGAGGTCTGTTTTGCCTGATGTGAATTGACTTCACCCACTTTCTTTTGGCTGTCATATGCTTAGAGTATCACCTTCTGTCCTTTCACTTATAGCTTATTTTGTCTTTAGAGGTGATGTGAGTCTCTTGGAGGCAGTATATAGTTGGGTCTCATTTTTTATTCCATTTAGCCTCTCTGTGTCTTTTGATTTGTGAATTCAAGACATTTACATTTAAGATGATTATTGATAAGTGAGAACTTAATACTTCCATTTTATCTTTTGTTTCTTGGTTGCTCTGTATCTCCATGGTTTCTTTTCCTTGTGTTTCTGCCTTCCACTTTGGTTTGATGGTTTTCTATGATATTTTTCTCAGTTTTCTTCTTCTTTAATGTTTTGTGTCTCTGATCTAGATTTATATTTTGTGGTTACCCTGAGATTTGCATGAAACCTTTCCTAGGTAAACTAGTCATTTTTTGCTGACAGTATCTTATCTTCATTTATGTTTATGGGTTTAATCTTTTTCCTATTCCCCTTTTATGTTTTTGTTGTCTCAAATTGTCTATTCTTATTTTGTAAGTTTGTTACCAAATTGAAGTAGCTATAGTTTTCTGCTTTCCCCTCCCCCTTTTGTGATAAGGTGTCTAAAACCTATTCTGATAAATAGTTGCAGTTTTCTGATTCTATCTATTTATCACTTTCCTCAAGAAAGACCAATATTATAGATTTTTATGATGTACACAAAGTTTTGTGTACTTTTGCCTTTTTGTTTCTAGTAGAAGAGCTTCTTTGAACATTTCTTGTAAGCAGAACTGTTGATAAATGTTGATGAATTCCCTCAGCTCTCATTTGTCTAGGAAGGTCTTTGTTTCTTCTTCATATCTGAATGATAATTTTGCTGGATAAAGTATTCTTGCATGACATATTATCTTTCAGTATTTTGAGAATGTCATTCCTTTCCTGTGGTTCCTACTGAGAAATCTAATAATAGCTACATGGGGGTTCTTTTGTAGGTTACCATTCTTTTTTTCTCTTGGCTGTTTTAAAATTCTTTCTTTGTCATTAAGTACTTTTGACAATTCTAATATGTCTTATAGAAGGTCCTTTTCCATTGAGGTAATTAGATCTTCTCTTAGCTTCATGGACTTGTTTTTGTTGTTGTTGTTGTTAGAACAACTCAGCAAAATAAAATTCCAGTTTATTGTTGGACAACATTGTTTCACGAATACATCAAACAGGCCAAAAAAATAAATAAATAAACAGCGACTTCATAGACGGAAAAAAAGGAAACCTTTTATCTTTGACCTTTTTAACCATCTCATACAAACCAACTACTTACAGTACAGCTAAGTACATACACAAAAAAAGTTACTGGAGTGCTCGGAATAAGATTGTTTTCATGTTGGGTTGTTTTTTTTTTTTTTTGCTTTTTTTTTTTACAAGGTTTTTTTTTCTCCTTTGAGATTATAATGCACATGGTCATACATACCACAAGTAAAGTCAGAAGCAGGACAGAGAATGCTCCGAAGGCTGGCTTGGTCATCCGAGATCATTAAAAATGGCTGACTCCTAACAATATGTACAAAAATACAAAATGTAAATAAAAAATACAAATTTTCCTTTTGAAAGTACTTTAAGAAAAAAGCAAGGCCTTGGACTTTTTGGTTCTTTTTTCTTCCCCTGTTGCAAATTCACGTTGTGGTTTTGGTTGGGTGGTGGAGAGTGTGTTATTTGCAGGTGGCGCTGCCCGCGGCAGGCGGGCATGTGGACCTCTCTACTCGAAGGTGACCACGTTTAGATTCTGAGACGGGAAGTAGAGGGTGAATAGGTCACGGTGACCTTTTTTTTAAGTTTAACTTTTTCTTTTTTACTGTCTAGTCATCCTTATCAGTCTTCTGCTTCTTGGTGTCAACATCGTCATCCTCATCATCTTCAGCTGCCTCGTCTTCGTCTCTATCCTCTTCCTCACCATCACCGTCCTCTTCCTCCCCACCTTCTTCCTCTTCTTCATCTACCTCATTGTCGGCCTCCTGCTCCCCATTTTCCTCATTAGCGTTCCCATTAGCAGGTGCCTCTCTCCCGTTCTCTGCCTCCTCCACAACTTCCTTCTTCTCTTCTAAGTCCTTGGTGGTGATCTCGGAGCTGGTGTCCACGGCCGTGTCTGACATGATACGCACGCCGGTGATCCCACGCAGAGGATTAAAAAGAAAGCGAGAGTTGAGGACTCTGGCGACAAAGCTCCGGAGTCCGCGGCGGCGGCGCAGGAGGCGCGCGGTGGAGGTGGCCGCGGCGAGCGCGGAGCCGGACACGGAAACAACGCAAAGATGGCTTTTCACAGCAGCCAGTGAGGCTTCATGGGCTTTTGTATTCAGTTTCTTCCTCATGCTTGAGAAATTCTCAGCTATTATTTAGTTAAATATACTCTCTGTGCCCTTCTCTCTGACTTCTCCTATGATACCCGTTACCCTAAGGTTGCCCTTCCTGAAAGAGTTGGATAGCTCTCAAAGAATCCTCTCATTTTAAAATTATTTAATTTCTCTCTCCTCTTATACTTGTACCGTTTCTAGATTTCTATCTTTGAGATCGCTAATCCATACAGTCTGCTCTATTTCCGATGCTTTCTAATGCATCCTTCTTTCTCGTTTATTGAGTTCCTTAATTTCAGAATTTCTGTGTGGTTCTCTTTTAGAGTTTTAATTTTTCTGGTAAAATACTTCTGTTCATTGATTTTATTTTTAAGCTCATTAATCTGGCTTTCTGAGTTTTCCTGTCGCTTGTTGAGTTTCTTCATGACAAATATTTTGAATTCTTTCTCAGTTAGGTCACAGTATTCCATGACTTTAAATTTGGCTTCTGGAGAATTGCCATTTTCTTTCTGTGGTTTAGTATTACTGTGATTCTTCATGGTACTTGGTGAGTTGTTCTTCTACTGGTTCATTTGCTGTAGTGACAGGTTGGAAATTAGAGGCCTTTCTTTTGTTTTCAAGTAGGTGGTGCTATAGCATAAGTTTTTGGTTTCTTTTCCCTAAGCTGCTTCTGGTTATATTTGAGAGTAGGCACTTTCTATCCTCCCCTATCTCTATAAGAGATACAGCTGTATTATCACTTCTTGTGCCTCGGGGTCATTGCTGCTTTGCTTCTGAAGTGTTGCTGTTATCATGACCTGGTGCCCCACAATTGTAGACTCTTCCCTCATATCCAAGATCCCTGGAGTCTTAAGCACCACAAATGCAGAGAAAAGGAAAGAGTAGGGTGGGAGCCAGGGTCAGGCTGGCATCTCTGCCCTGTCTGGTGTTGTAAGGTCTGTGGGCTCCACTGCTCTGGCTTTAGGGGCCAGGGCCAGAGTCGTGAGCACCCATTAAAAATGGAAAAGGACTTGAATAGACATTTCTCCAAAGGAGTTATATAAATGGCCATTAAGCACATGAAAAAAATGCTCAACGTCACTGATTATTAGGGAAGTGCAAATCAAAACTACAATGAAATACCATCTCATACTCATGAAGATGAGTACTATATAAGATAATGGAAAATAACAAGTGTTGGCTAAGATGTGGAGAAATTGGAATCTTTGTGTAATGTTGGTGGCAATGAAAATGATGAAATAATTGAGAACAGTATGGAGCTTCTTCAGAAAATTAAAAATAGAACTACCATTTGGCACAGAAATTCCACTGGGTATACACACCCCCAAATTGAAAACATATTCTCAAAGGGGTATTTCTAAACCCACATATAAAACAAGCATTATTAGTAATAGCTAAAACATGGAAACAACCCAAGTGTCCATCGACACCTAAGTAGATAAGCAAAGTGTGGTATATACATAAAATGGAATATTATTTAGACTTAAAATGAAAATTCTGACACATGCTACAACCTGGATGAATCTTGAGGTCATTATGCTAAGTGAAACAAGCCAGACCCCGAAACAAATACCGTATGATTTCACTTACATAAGATATTTGGAATAGTCAAAATCATAGAGTTGGAAAGTAGACTGGTGCTTGTCAGGGGCTGAGGAGATGGAGTGTAGGGAATTATTGTTTAATGGGTATAGAGTTTCAGTTTTACAAGATAAAAAGTTACGGAGGTGGATGGTGGTGATGGTATTCACAGTATTCTGAATGTATTCAATACCACTGAACTGTATACTTGAAAAGTTTATGATAAGTTTTGAATTATGTGTATTTTACAGGAATAAAAAATTGGATAAAAATATATGAGGCAACAACATGGGTGGAAAGGTACATGGAGATGTGCAAAGAACATATAAAGTCTTATCTCTGAGTCTCTTAGCATTTAGCCCAAGTCATTTTATTTTGCAAAAGATGGACAGAAGGGCCAAACTGAAGTTACCAGTTTAAATTTAGCAGGAATCCTATACTTCCAAAAGCAAGATGGCGTCTCTACCCAGATGAGGCAGCTGATGCTGTCTGTCTTTCAGCCAGTAGATGGCACGTTTTCAAGTTGAATTATTCTTCTTCAATGGAGTATGTCCCCAACCTCCCTCCCGTTTAGCCAATCTCAGATGCAGAGCCAAGTTTAAGATCCTTACCAATTTCTCTCTTCAAGGAGCACACGACTTATGTCTAAAGCACCGCACACAGATGGGCTCATCCAGCTTTCCGCACAGTTCAGTAGAATCGTCAATCTTAGAGTTCACATTCCACATTAATTAATGATTGACTGATGTGTCCATATATTAATTAAAAGCATAATGATTTTCTGTTCTTCCTGGCTGTCCTATTTCTATAATCATCAATTAAAATGGAAATCATTGTTTCTATTGCTGTGTCTGGATATTTGAGGGGCCAATCTGGATCAATGTGGTCATCCACCTATTCATCAATTATTGAGGAACTATTCCATGCCAAGGCAAAATTCTAGCAGCCAGAAATACAAAACGAAAAAACAGATAAGTTCTCATTATAAAACTTACATTCTGTTGGGGGAATCAGATATACAAAAATGATAGATAAATAGATGAGAGAAAGACATAGATATTTACATAGATTGATAAAATGTTAGTGCTAATGTTTCTGTAGAGAAGTAAAGCAAGGCAACTGGGTAGAGGGTAATGAGGTCCTACTTCAGATAGATTGTGGAAGTCTTGGTTTAAAGTTAAGACTCAGGAATCAATACTATTGAGAAACAAACCTTGCTTTTAGTTATTATTTCTATCAATAATAGTAGCTAACAGTTATTGAGTACTTTACATACATGATTCTTATTGCTTGGGATATAATTATTATTAGCTTCATTTTACAAAGGAATAAGCTGAGACTCAGAGATATTAAAAAGTTTTAAAACTTCAAGATCCCAGGGCTAAGAAAGGGCAGAGGCAGGATTTAAGCTCAGGTTTTCCTGAATCCTAGGTCCATGTTCCTACTATTAGACTATGCTGCATGTTTCTCCTATTAAGTTATCTTGTGTTCATACTTCATTAAAACTGTTGATGAACTATGTTCCCTCCCCAGTTCCAGTGTCTCATCCTGTCTTCACCTTCAACCTTGCTGGGGCTCAGGCTGTGATGGGGGACGTGGTGGAGCTTCACTGCGAGGCCCAGAGAGGCTCTCCCCCAATCCTGTACTGGTTTTATCACAAGAATGTCACCCTGGGGAACAGCTCGGCCCCCTTTGGAGGCGGAATGTCCTTCAACCTCACTCTGACAGCAGAGCATTCTGGGAACTACTCCTGTGGGGCTGACAACGGCCTGGGGGTCCGGCGCAGTGAGGTGGTGACACTCAACATTACAGGTGGGTTGGTGGTGCTTGGGCTCTGGGTTATATTTATAGTCAATAAAATATTTCTCCAACAGACTGTACAAATTCTACCAGTGTCAACGAGTTTTTAACGTGACACCCAGGCTTGGGGCTTCTGGAGATTGGGACTGATTTCATGGTGGAGAGGAGAAAGGAATAAATTTTAATCTCAGTTGCTGACAGTCACTCTCCATGTGCTATTATTTTGAAAACTACAAATGAAACTGGAAATTATTCAAATTGAAAAACCAGAACCTGGCCAAAAAAAAAACCAACTGTCTTAATAGATCTCTAGCCCCAACTTACATGTTTTTTGTCTAGATCAAAAATATTTGGCACTAGGACTCAAGTAGAGGTCTCTTCACTCAGGGCCCTCCAGTAACACATACAAAGCAAGCCTCATCACTGTGGGAGTCCCCACAGGGCTGCTGAGTGTCCTCGGCCTTGCTGCTGCTACTGCTGTTCTGGTGGGTTGCTTCAGGACCCAGAGGAGCTCAGGTGAGTGTCTACATCTTACTGTTTGAGGTTGTGACTTTTGCCATTGCTACAATAATGTGGACTTGTGTGGTGCATCTTATAAAGGTCAATTATTTCTTTCCAAGTAGGAGGCCCTCAGTTCTTCTCATTGCCACTATGGCAGGGACAATAATATAGACCAAAGTTTCCAGTGAAGTTGTGACTCCATGTGTTTAATCTGAGATTTAAATCAGATCAGCAGTTTCGCTTCCAATTAAACCTTAGAAAGTTAAGTATTTACTGTTCTAACCCCAATCCGAATCTTACCGATAACAAAAAGACTGAGAAGCAAAATCCTCCACTCGTAACAACAAACATAGACAATATTCATAGGAGCAAATCATAAACTCTGAGATGTGCTTTAATACCATTTAAATACAGTGAATACAGAAAAGTCGTAGAGATTCTGAGAATGACATTAAAATGTCAGTTTCTGATTGTTTGTTGCTAGTATGTAAAATTCAGTTGATCTTTGTATATTGATCTCATACCCTGCAACCTTGCTAAATACACTTCATTCTAGTATTAGTTTTGTAAATTTCGTCAGATTTTTTAAATAGATGATCATGTTATCTACAAACAAAGATAGTTTTACTTTTCCTTTCCAATCTGGATTCCTTTTAATTCTTTTTCTTGCCTCAATGTGTTGGCTAGAACCTCCCGTACAATGTTGAATAGAAGTGTTGAGAACAGACACCCTTTCACCATTAAGTATGGTAATGTAACTGGGATTTCTTGTAGATGATCTTTATTGGGCCACTAACTGTAATTTGCTGAAGGTTTTTATGGGAAAAAAATGACAAATTCTTTTAATACATTGATTGAGATGACCATACGATTTTCTCTTCTAGTCCACTGATACGGATTTTGGATTTTGAATGTTGAACCAGCTTTGCATTTCTAGGGTCCTGGTTTTTGACTTGCTAGAAGCTTAAGAATGTTTGCATCTGTGTTCTTAAGGGGTATTGGTTTGGTAGCTTTATTTTCTCGTCCCTTTTTATTTCCTGACTTGATGTCAAGGCAATACGCACTGAGTTACCACTTCCAGAATTCTTCATTCCTCTGTATGTACGTCCTTCCATATTCACACAGATCGCCTGTCATCAATATTCGTTTGT